GGCTATTCCACAATGTACAGCTGGGAAGGTTATTGCACAACATACAGCTGGGAAGGCTATTCCACAACATACAGCTGGGAAGGCTATTCCACAACATACAGCTGGGAAGGTTATTGCACAAAATACAGCTGGGAAGGCTATTCCACAACGTACATACGGGAAGGTTATTGCATACCATACAGCTGGGAAGGTTATTGCACGACGTACAGCTGGGAAGGTTATTGCACGACGTACATCTGGGAAGGTTATTGCACAACATACATCTGGGAAGGTTATTGCACAACGTACAGCTGGGAAGGTTATTGCACAACGTACATCTGGGAAGGTTATTGCACAACATACACCTGGGAAGGTTATTGTACAACGTACATTTGGGAAGGTTATTGCACAACGTACATCTGGGAAGGTTATTGCACAACGTACACCTGGGAAGGTTATTGCACAATGTACATCTGGGAAGGTTATTGCACAACGTACATCTCTGAAGGTTATTGCACAACGTACAGCTGGGAAGGTTATTGCACAACGTACACCTGGGTAGTCCACATCCATCCTCGCCCTGAGAACTTTAGAAGGCGAGGACAGGATTCCCTGCTTCCAACCTTGAAGTGATCTCGTGTATTGATAGATCAATCTAGATCGTCAATCATTTAATATTGATAAGATTATCATTTTAATTAAATTTGTTTGTGACTTCCTTTGAATTACCTATAAGTGTATATGAATGAGAAAGCGCACCTATGTGATAGATTTGAATCCAAACTTTAAACCCTTAGGCCCTAATTGGGGGTAACTCATACCAGTTAACCATAAAAAAGTTAAGTTACCCAAGTGATTCACCACAAACACCTAGGTGGGATTTCTGTGTCATTGGATTCTCCACATGGATGCACCATTGAGAACAAATTCGCAGTCTTAACATACCTTAAAACTACCAGGTTTTGTTGCTATATCTTTATATCTTCCCTAATCAGAAATATAATTTAAAAAATTCAGCATATTTGGTCTACTCAGTGCTTAAAAAATTAAATGTTCTAAAAAATGCTTTGTGGATTAGAGGATATCTTTTGTAGTGGCACCATAAAGGTGTGAAATGCCCCTTTGGAAACGAGTGGGACATTATGGCGGCACATGGGGTGGGATCTCGGCAGAATATGACCCACATTTTTGTTTGAAAATTTGACTTTTCTATATTCCGGGTACGTAATATATGAAATATGGATTTAAAACAGAAAATGAAGCGTTAAATAGCAGTATATATTTTTAATTAAACAGAAAAAGAAGTGTTTAGAAACAAGATAAGACAAAACCGGAAGTAAAGGGCGAAACATGCCTCAAGTCCACCTCAGCATGCTCACTGGCCATTTAACTAAATTTCACTAGTATGACAGTGTAAGTTTCTAAGACCAGTTCTAAGAGAAACATAAACTATTTGAAAGCTAATGAAACAATACTTTGGATATTGTCATAGAACAAAACAAGATGTCAATTCAATCATTTATTACCAGAAAACCTATACATAAATAGAATTAAATAACAAATAGGAACACGCCACCCAGGAGCAAGTCATCCAATGTATACTTCCTTAATCCATATATGTAAGCACATAATGTCTCAATCATATAGCTACAACAACATTCATTTTGTGATCAGATCTAAAAATTCTACATATGGTTAAAACAAAAAGTACCAGAAGGCAGATCTTTTGTGGATTCAGATCTAAACAAATTAAAAATGTACATTAAAATTTTGAGGAATTATAAATTATATATTTTCCGGTAAAAATTACATATGGCATGTTGAAACTACCTTCAGTTTAAATTAACTCATATTGGGTATATGGCATTTTGAAACTAACTCCAATTTTAAATCTAACTCCTATATGGCATTTTGAAACTAACTCCAATTTAAATTTAACTCCTATTTGATATGGCATTTTGAAACTAACTCCAATTTAAATTTAACTCCTATATGATATGGCATTTTGAAACTACCCCCAGTTTAAATCCAACTCCTTTATATATCTAAATATATCAATATACACATTTTAAAACCATATTTTATAAAGCAAAGACCAGATGTCATGATTTCCGTATAGCACAGAAGGAAATTATTTACAAACGGTATTGCAATAAATTCTAAATAAAACTCAGATCTAAACATTTAAAGGAGAAATCACATCCTTTTTAAAAAGTCAAAATCTAAAAGCGCTGTTTCAGAATTGGATCAAGTCTCGGGGGGAGCTTAGTTATAATTATAAATACAAGGGCTACAGGATAAAACATATCACAAAATAAAGTGAAGTGAAAGCTTCCAAGAGGAGTTGTATGGCAGGAGCTTACTTAAGGCAAATATATCAAGAAATGAGCAAAAAGCACAGCACTTAAATACACTCTGGTGGAGTGAGGAATGACTGTTACAAGTGAAGCAAAAAAGGGTTTGTACAAATTGTACAACCTCCTACTGAAGTCCTAGAACATTGGTTTTCACAAAGTGTTGTGGAAGGTGTTCGAGATTTCAAATGCAAGGGATAATAATGTGTGTAAATTGTAAAGAAGTACTTAAAGGCTTTCTACTTTGACCAACAAAGTAAAGTCAATAGAAGTGAGATGGCAACTATAATACAGACCATTAAATCTAATCTAATTGTTTGCCTCAGTCAACATTTTCCTTTCAAATAAATGAAAGATGAGGAGAGGGAGAATTTGAGCAATTAGTTGTAGTGGGTCACAAAATAAAAAGGTTGAAAACTGCTGCACTGGACCATGAAATATTTACAACTGAAGGCACACGTTACAATATAATACATTACAAATTAGAAGTGAATTAACTTAATGAAGAACTAAATGAACAAAGGCCCCATTGGCCTCCCAATACATTTTCTCAAACCGTTTGGCTTAGTTCAATTATTCATGGCTCAGGTGATCCAAACAGAAAATAAACACATCATAGCCAAACTGTAACAATCACCGTCATAAATTTATACAACATAGGCTCTTGATTTTTAGCAGAATACCTTCATCCTACTCATTTAGATCTGCTGTTACTGTTACACAAAATGATAAAGACCACATTTTGGATTGAGGATAATTACAAGCATAAAGCAAATTTGTTTCCTAGGCCTACATGTCATACAGCACATTTGTTTCCTAGGCCTACATTTCAAAACATTTTTAATTTTTAAAATTTAATTAATTCACTGATATTTTGTCTATTCCTTTACTGAAGCACAGGTACCGGGTATTCAAAACAATGTGCATTTAAATGTTTGACCTTTTCATAGCAAAGTTTAGGCGTCACTATTATTTGTAGTGTTTCCTTTGACCAAATTCAGTCTTGCATCGGGTAACAATTTTTCAAGGACTACTGGAATTCTTATACTTCAACCATTAAGTAACATAATTACTTAAAATATGAAGTTTTTTTGATGAATATACAGGTAGATATTTGTTTTTAACTAGTTTATGATGGAAATCTTCTTGTTCTAACATTGATTAATAAATATGCTTATAATTAAAAAATATTTAAGACACTTTAATGTCAAGCTAAATAATGAACCAAAATAATGGTCTTTTATTTTGTATATTAAAAACTCTAATAAAACAATTTAGGACAATGATCTTAGCAAGGCAGTAAAATGATGGGAACGATACATTATGTACAAACCCACACTATATTGAGAGGTAAACAAATCTATACCATCTTGTTATACGTGTACATATATTTTTACATTCTTTTCCTGTAGCAGACTAGTATAAAGAAAGACATTTCAAATTTGTTTGATGAACCTGCCTGCCAACAACACAAGAAAAATGTCACTTGTTAATTTAAAAAATAATAATTTATAAGTCTTTAATTGAACATGAAATTCTCAATAACAGTACAAATGCACATACTTAATACTGTTATAATTTTAAAAAAATCATGTCCACTGTTACTGCTGTGATTACATAACTTCACAAAGTGTGAATAGCACAATTATCAATGGCCCATTCTTAAAATAGCATAACGTTTGCTGGTTTGAAAATATGTTCGTATCAACATAAAACATTGCAAGGTAGGGTAAAGCACTGAATGCATGGATAAAACTATACATCTATGTACATAAATAAGTAAAGCACCTTAGCTTAGGTCCCGTCTTTCATATGTACATTGTACAAAATGCAGTAAACATTATTCTTTAAATAAAATTGATACGATTTGTCATGATCTTTCAGTGGATGAGACAATTTAAAAATAATAAGAGTTATTAAGCGGGGAAAAAAAAATTAATTTACTTTTAACAAATATCTTTTTAATTCAAAAGATGTAGTTTCCTGAATCAGTTGTACAAATATTTAGTTCAAATAAATATTATCCACTAAAATTACACAAAATATGAAAATATATAAATGTTAACATGTATTACACCAAGCAACAGGAGGTTAAAAAGAAATAACTGAAATTCTTAAATTTGCAGTTTTTTTTTTTAAACTTGTTTTTCAAAAGTTTTTTAAAATCATGATCAAATATGAAACTAGCAATCTTTTTAGACATTTTTTTCCCGCTAATTCGTCTTCATGTTTAACTTAAAAAAGACATGTCGCTATGAAGTAATAGTTTAACTATTCTCTCTCAATCAAAAAAAAATGTCTCATTGAGCTGTTGCACTACAAATTATAATTCCTTCAGAAAATATCTTCTAATAAATAACTTTATCTTTGTGACATTACAAGTACTGAAAAAAAAAAAAAAAAAAAAAAAAAAAAAAAAAAAAAAAAAAAAAAAAATAAAAAATATAAAAAAAAAAAAAAAAAAAAAAAAAAAAAAAAAAAAAAAAAGAAAAAAAAAGAAAAAAAAAATGACATCAATTACACTTGAAAATTAAAAGAAAAAAAACAAAAACAAAAAAAAAACAGGTATCAAATAATATTTAAAAAATAAACATTCACAAAATATACAGTAGTAAGGAAGAAAAGGAAAAAAATAATTTAAATAATCATACATTAAAATAAAAAGGTTTAATTCCCCTGTAAATAATTTTTAGCCAACTGTATCATGTCCAGCTGATCTTTGGTAAGGCCACACGCTACTTTTCGATAAGTTGGATCAATCTGTGAAGAAAAGAAATCACAGATAGAAGCGATACATGATTGACACAAAATTTAGTTAATGGCTAAATGAAAATAAAAAATCATCTTTTAGCAACTCGTTAGGAATGTCCAAAAATTCAGTGACTATCCCATATTATCAGCCAGCAGTTATACATACAAATATTAAACTAGGATAACAGCTCACAACTTCTGACAGTAACATGCACAAAAAATAAATATTCTTACAATCTGTACCTTTACTACCGGCTTTAGCGGTGAATCTGTAAACATTATTTTCTTCGCAGATTTTTTCGGGATTTTCTTTTCTGGTTCGCGCTGAAAAAACAACACCAAACCATTTATTTATCAAAAATACACCTATTACTTTTTTAATAGTTTTTGGTAAAATATTTAGGATTAGCTCTAAAACAAATAATGGTATAATTAATGGAAGTGTATCCTATCAGTATAAATCACTGTATAAATAAAGCAATATTCCATTTTTTTTTCTTGAAAAACAAAATCTCTCCTTACACCTGAACAGCTATTTGTCAACAAAAACTGGATTTCTTTAAAGCTATTTCCACCTCTACAAATTCGATTGAAAACTTTTAAAAATTAAACTTTAACACAATTCTGTAAGGAAAAATTACCCTGTGAAAGATAATGGGACATATCTAAATTAAAATATTTTTTTTATAATATGTGACACTTTATTTTAAAATTTAAAAAAAGACAAGAGATATTCAAATATTTGTTTAGATTTAGTCTACCCCATAACAATGTTACATTGCTAAATTTGAGAGGATGACCAGCTATATATATATAAAATAAATAAAAATAGTTATTTGTGCAAACAAAATTTTCAACAAAAAAATTATTTAAGCAACATCTATTTTACCAGCACATTTATAATATCCATATAATGTTTATAGTTTTTTACTATTTGCAGAAAAAAATTCTTAAAAATAAAGAGTTAAAATCATTACAGTGGAACCTCTCATAACGAGTTTAATTCGTTCCAGGCTCTTACTCGTTAAGCGAAACGCTCGTTAAACGAATCAATTTTTCCCATACAAATCGATGTAAAATATGATAATGCTTTCCATGCTGAAAAAATACTACTTTTTCAAAAGATTTTTATTAACATTTTTTCAAATAAAATTACTTATGAATTGTTAAGGAGTGTAACAACTTGGAATACAATTCAGATTTGAAACAAAAAACGTAAATAAGCAAACCAAGCAAACCAAGCCTTGGGGTTCTTAAGGCGAAATCTAAAGATTGGCAACTCCTGTGTGAAAGAAAGAGCATATAAAGCCTTTATCCGTCCGATTTTAGATTATGCATCTTCAGTCTGGGACCCATTTACCCAGAAGAGCATTGACAGGTTGGAGGCGGTCCAGCGACGAGCAGCACGCTTTGTCCTAAACCGCTACAGGAATACCTCTAGTGTTGGCAGCATGCTAGAAACACTAGGCTGGTCACCATTGGAGAAACGACGACGACAATCCAGGCTCTCCATGATGTACAAGATAAATAATGGGCTGGTCCACTGTTCCAGTATTAAACAGAAACTCGTCCCTCTCCCCCATAGACAGCGACGAGGCCATGACAGGCAATTCAGGCTCATACCAGCAAGAAGCCAGTATAGGAGCTGCTCATTCCTGCCCAAGACAATCAGGGACTGGAACCATCTTTCAAAAGGAACAGTTGAGGCGACAACACTAGACACATTTGTGTCTATTGCCTCAAGCCTTCAAACCCCTAGTGCATAATTTCCTCATCACCACCAGTAACAGAAACATTGCAAATCCCATCTACATGCATAGGAGCCAAAATGATCAATAAATTGATCGTGGGCCCTTAAGATATAGAAGAAGGAAGAATAAAAATATGAATTTATGACAAATAATTAATCCTTTTTAACTAGAAAACTATCTAAAGACATTTGTTTTTGCAGACGCTTCCAAATTTGACGAAAATGTGTCACAGCATTATCAGTGAATAAATTTGTAGCACGAATAGCCACGCTCACACCTTGTTCTCGCTTTTCAATGATTTTACGTTTCATTTCAACAGTTATTTTTTCTCTTTTATGATTGTCTTCTTGTGTTTTTTTTTTTCGAAGACATTTTAGCATAAGTTATTACACTTTGCACATAAAAAAATTATGAATATTGTCTGAATACTGAATACAAAATTTTTAAAAACTGGCGATCACACACGAAAACAATATGCTAACAGACCGAGTGCTAAACACAGACTAATGCATTGGTTCTCAACCTTCCTAGTGCCGCGACCCTTTAATACAGTTTCTTGTGTCTTGGCGACCCCCCAGCAACCTAATTATTTTCGTTGCTACTTCATTATTATTCATAGCTGTAAGAATATGTGTTTTCAGATAGTCTAAGGCGACCCCTGGGAAAGGGCTACGCTACCCCCAAAGGGGTCATGACCCACAGATTGAGAACCGCTGGACTAATGCATCGGTGCGGAAGTCCCGGCTCAAAAATGTGTGTCAGGAAAAAGGGACTTCCCCTTTCTGCGTAACTCGTTATGCAAAATATCGCGCTCTTTAAGGGAGCAACTTCTTCACATTTTTTTTTTGCTCATTATGCGAATTACTCGTTATGAGAGGTGCTCGTTATGAGAGGTTCCACTGTACATATTTTAAGTTCAAAATTGTCTTCATAATATGAAGCTAATTGGCATTGAACTGTAAAAAGTAAGTTTTGATATTTTGAAATGCTTGAAAAGTTCCTTAAAAAAACAAAAACATGTACACACATTATTACACTAAACATATAATTTTTTAATTGCTGAATTAAAAAAAAAATTTTTTTTAAAAATTGGTTTAAATTTTAAAAAAAAACAGCAAAGATAAGCAACAATGGTTACAACCCAACAAATACTAAGAAAATATAATTTTCTGCATAAAAGAGGAATCCCAAAGAATAAATAATTGGCAAGAGGTAAAAGGTTTGAGAAAAGACCAACATATTAAGATGACATTTATCAAATTAAAAACTAACATCAATATCCATATAAATGAAGAAAAAAAAGAGTTTGTCTCACATTTGCAATACTTACCAAACTCAAAATAAACAGAGCCAGTGACGCTCTGAAAGAATTAACATGTATTGTAAAGTGCCCTATAATGAAATTTTTTATCCCATGAAGTATGTACTTTGGAATTGTGAAAATTGGAAAAAAAATAATGTTTGACATGACTATTCACCAAGAGGAAAAACCAAGGAACATTATGTATATAGGCTCTAGATTGTTATCCACTTGTTATAATAAAAAGAAGGTTAGTAAGAAGCTTTGTTTAATGCATGGTATTAGTAATTATTGATTGCAATTATTTTCATAATTAAAGTCCATTTTTCAAATCAAGATATTAATTTTTTTTTTTTTAAAATCTGTTTTATTGTATCAATAGGATGAGTTTCCTACAGCTAGATCTAGAAATACCAAGGCCGCCTGCCACCTTCGTGAAAATCTGTTCTTATCCTTTTGTTTTTGATATGATGATAATGGGTTTTCCCATTCATTGTAGATTGTGTGAGATTAGCCAGCACTAATTTTTAAATCCTTCATATTAACTTCGCTTTTGTTCGTGGATGGCTGTCTGTAAAAAATCTTCGGACAGCTAATTGACCCACTTGATGTCAACCCATTGAGATAAAACTTGGCACATAGACTGGCCGATGACAAAACATTTATCAAATTTTCAGCCCAACCCCAACAAATCAGCTGTTCCTGTTTTACAATGGGAACATGAAGGAAATTTCCAGATAAATGTGCTAAATAAGATTCTTTTTAAAAAAAATATCACAAGTGCGTTTTGTGCGTAATATTTTCTTTTGTTTTTCTACAATAGTTGATGAAATAAATCTGCGGTGTAAAAGGGGGTGGGTCATTAGTTCAGGAGCATGAAACAAATGTGCGGTTGTGAGCCTGGAGGGTGGACTCATTGGGATTCTTATAAAGTGTGTTACCGTACTTGTATGCATGTTTTATCAAATTTTCAGCCCCACTCCCCATAGCTTTATATTACATTTTAATAAGGATTTATATTGAAAACTTTGATTTTAGGAGTTGTTTAATTTATTAGTTAAAAAACCAAGAGCTATGTTTTGTGAGGAAAAAATAAAAAATTTACATTAATAATTTTTTTTGAGATTCTAACTAGAGCCAAATTTAAAGACTTTAATAATTGTAATATTAATATGACGTGCATATCGGCGAGTTTTGAATTTTCCATTCCAAAAATATGGAAAGAGGGTGTTGCTTTTTCTTGATATAAAATAGCTGACATATTGCCAAACCTGGTATTAAAAAAAATCATAAAATGGTTAAGCTTTTATTCGGTCCCAACATGTTTGATAGCCGATTTATGAGCCATTTACAATAGACCAATAGGACCTAAGCCATCACCAGTACAGAATAAAGCTTTTTGAATTTCCGATTTTAAAAATAAAGAATTAGGTGGATAAATAGAAAGCAATAATAATTGTTCTATTTAGATATTGGGTTAAGTCCATAAGAGCCTGTGGGGAAAGAAAACCTGTACACATAGACTAAGTTCAATTTTTCATAAAAAGATATTGAACCACTTCTCAAATGTGTTTAATTAATTGATAAGAAAGTAATAATTGTGCTGTTTAGATTTTAGGGTACCCTGGACATAAATTACGAGCAAGAAGAGCTGTAATTCTTTAAATTTTTTACATCCAACAATAAGCTATAACCTCAAAAGCCAAGTCAATGAAAAAAGGATTTAAAAAAAAAATTCTTACATTTCTAAGTCAAAGATGCAATAAATGAAAAAGAGAGATCAGATAACAATCTGTCAGGTAACTGAATATGGTCATTCAAATTTTCAGACAAAATAACTTTTTAAATTAAAAAAAAATAATAAATAAATAAATATTAAATAACTAATTTTTGACCACTAAATAAAAGATATGTGTACCTTCAGCCTAATATGCTAATTAAGCAACAATTATCAGTAGTTTCTAGAAAATAATTGCTGCTTAAAACTAATAGTAGATTGGATAGTAAGACATGTCCATCTAAAATAATAATACTGGGACAATGACTGGGTTGCTATTCCCTTTAGACTTACATTTAGTTCTAAAATACAGCTCAAGGTTTGTAGAATTGTATCAGTACCAATAACTTCTAAAATTTTAAAACCATATTTTAATGATTTATTTTTAAGGCAAAATGAGTGAACTTTACACAAATTATTTCAGCTATCCTGCTAAAGGAAAGTTGGTTAAAAAAATGGTCTAAACGAGTGTTTCCCAACCTTTTTTGTGTCATGCCCCAGCAAAGCCTTTCTAAAACACCCCTCATGTATCAAATACATAATTTTTAATATTCAAAAATAGGGTTTTTCACTGAAGAAACTTAAATGATTTTTACAACACTTGAATGCTTATTTTAAATTGATACTTTACGATTCTCCTTTTAAAATACAAGTTAAATCATAGTCCACGGTTGGTTTTCTCCTTTCAAAATCTAGACAGCTCATTTTTTGCATTGCCCCCTCAACAACCAAACTGCCCCCCTGTGGGGCGTGGGCCCCACATTGGGAAATAGTGGTCTAAACATTTTCCCCACCAACAAATAGCTCTTATTCTAATGGAAGCTTGTGTAGAAAAAAAGAATGCCTGTATCAATGTAAAAAAAAATTAAAAAATACGACTTATATTTAAAATCTATGTGGAGAATCTTAAATTTTTACTATCCTATAATAACTTAGGTTTTGGATAAAACAATATTTTTTAAAAACATTTATGAATGAACTGCTTTGCACCATGAGCAAGTTCTGGCCCCAAGTTTGTATTCCAGAGCCACTGTTAACATCTCCTGTTAGTAAACGAGTTAAATATTTGAAACAACCACTATTTTTTTTTAATCTTTCAAGTACTGAATTGGGGTGGCCAGAATCTAAGGAACATCACAAGAGCTGGGAAGTCTAGAGGAATAAAAGTGATGCCTGGCATCATGAAACTATGATCTTATCATATGACACAAAATAACATGTCCTCCTTTAACAAATGAATTATTAGTAAAACAAAAGCATTCCAATCTGTTAGAAAGCAGTATATGAGTTAACAGCAACAAAAACATTTGTAATATATGGTAATATAGCTTCAAGAAAAAATGTATTACTTGTATTGTACTGCCTTGTACCTTCTGTGGAAGGTTGAAGACCTCTTCTAAAACTTCCTCAGGAAGTGTCTCTTTTATTATTGATGGTGGGGAAAGCAGCAAACTTGTATCTCCTGCCAGTGACTTGCTCTACCAGAAATAAACAAGATGATCAATGGGATGGACAATAAGCTGTCACTGCCATAACATGTTTATTTTGTATAATTTATACCCAAAGCAATAGGTAATCAAAGGTGTACAGTAGAACCCGGCTATGTCGACGGCCTAGGGGTTTGCCATAGAGCGTCGAGATAACCGATGATCGAGATAAACGAAAACCACATTACATTAAAATTTGCTTGAAATTTCTTTATGTACATGATGTGCGTTAATAAATGAGAATGAGTCTAATACACTAAAAAAAGCCTAAATTTTAGGCCATGCCTAATTTAATAATTTAAGTCAGTAATAATTAATAGGCTATATGGCCTAAGCATAATATGTTTTAGGCCTAGACTAGGTCTAGATTACTTAATATTAGATTTAGACTGACTGATTAGACTGTATCCTGTAAATGATTATAATATTAATATTTTAAATACTTTATTTGTGGAGTACACATTTTAGTCTTAGAGTTAGGACAGCTTGCTTAGGCCCTTACTTAGTAGACCTACTTTCTATTAACGAATGTTATAAAAATGTAAGTTATATTAAATAAAATAGGTCTATAATATTAGGTACTTCACATAGTGGCGCGCGCCGATAGATTATTCGAATGCGGGAAACAGACCATAAACCCGGTCAATGCCGGTAGGTCACAGGGTCATATGGAGATTATTGGAGATCTAAGTTTCTTTTGTCAACATAAGGAAGTGACAATGAACTTAGGGATTCTTTCACTACTGTATTTTGAGAAATAAAAATATTATTTTTAATTATGCAAAACTTGTTTATTTGTTGTTTGCTATTTTTTCTTGCAAAGTTCAAAAGCCGGTTCTCAGTCGGCGGATCAAGATAACTGACATAAAGTGGCAAATTTGGCCGCCTTTTGTGCTCGGGATATCAGGGTTCGGTGACATAAAAGAATCGACATAACCGAAGAGATAATGCTGAGACAAAGATAGAATTTGGCGGTTTTACTTCAAAAACGTCCACCTAACAGGGTTGGTGAGATAACTGAGATAAGCGGGTTCGACTTTATTTTAATTTCAATTTAAACTAGGAAGGTCCAACTCTTGTTCTGCTGCCATTTTAAATAAGACTCTCTTAAGTTATTTATAAAATATTGATTGCCACAATCCACATATATTTTTGGAATGATGGTTTCAATTCAAGATAATAATTTCTCTCATTTCTAAGCAGTGAGAATTATTTGTTTACTATAAACTAAATCAAACTTATAATTTCAAATCTCTTACAATAGTTAGGGCAGGGAATCTTCTTGTTTTACATGACAACCGATCACAAATCATCAATGCACCAATTATAAAATATTTATTTAGATACTCCTGATAAACAGAACTTTTGAAAAAAAGGTAACTTTGTCATGTGCAAACATTATTATTATCTGGGAAATCTTTAATTAATTAATTGAAAGTTCAAAATAGGTAGGCCCTAAGCAGTTGTTTTTTTTTTAAACCAATGCTTTGCCTTATATAGACTATATATTAATCCCTTGAACATGCAGAAGAACATTTAGTGCCAGAATCAGTCTTATATTAGCCATCTGGGTACCCACAGACAGAATCAGAGCCAGCCAGTATCAGATCATTAAAATGGTCTTTATTGATTTCAACAGAAAAACTAACAATAAGAATAGACTTTATATATATACCTAAATACTGTATAACCGGTACTTGCATAAATTCTTGAAATTTTAACTTTTTAACTTTTTTTTAATTTTAAGTACCTATATTTATTAGTTTTTTAAAGTTTTTTTACTTATAAAATAATTACTCTTAAAAGCATGGATTAAAAAAATATTACTTTCTTTAACTCTTCCCATGCCAATCCATGATATATCGTCGATTTGACTGGTCGCGTTTGTGCCAACCCACAATATATCATTGAAATAATTTCAGTTGTCTATTTTGTTGCCTGCGGCTATTAATCCGACTTTTTATGTTCTAAACGAAGGATAACTCTTCCTACTTCCTTTCTGTAAGAAGAAGTGTTTCTTTACATATTTTTTTTCTAATAATCTTTTTTTCCGATTTGTGATGAAACTGTTGTGCGGTAAACAAAAGACTGGCCACGCCTGCTCCAAGGACATCAACTGTTGTAAGACCATGTTAGGTGGTCAAGTTTCCGAAAAGAGCTTTTATTGCAAATTATTAATGCTTAAACATCTGACTATAACCATGAATCATTTGAATCTGATTCCAGTGATGCTATTTATCTTTCTGATGGGTCGGTAAATGCCAAATGGAAATAGTAATTAATAGAATGGCGAAAGTGATAGTAATAGTGGTGACTGTTGGCACTTTGGTAAAAATTCCAATTTTTTTTTAAAATATAAAAAACACCACAGCTTATAGAGCCAAAAGAATGGATTACAAAAACACCAAGATCAATGTTTGAAATAGTGAAACGAGGTATGTGGAAGCTTGAAATAAGGTAACAGGACAAAAAACAAGGACGTTTCGGCATAAAGCCTTCATCAGCCAACAATAGAAATGAAAATATAACAAAGAAAAGAACACAGTAGAGATCAATGTTCTAGTTCAAGTCGCTCAAAAGATATGAATTTTTCAAGACCACTATTTTACTAAGAGGATTCAAATAATACTACTCCCGTTGCTGCAAGGAGAAGTTGGAAATTAGGCAGAAAAGATTCAGGAAGAATAATTTCAGGACCCTGATATACTCATTCCCCTAGAGTCCACCCTATCAAAGCCAGGGGAAAAGCCCATCGACAGTGCAGAGAGGCGTCTCAGTGAAAATAAGCACCTGATTGACTGTGATGGGCATGATTGACAGTGTGCATACTGTTTAGTGCACAAAATAACCAAACTCTGCAGCTATGTGTGCATCAGATGCTCAGGAAGACCTCATCTGTGTGTTAAGAAGTGCTTCAGAAAGGGCCACACAGAAAGAAATTTGTTCTAAAGTAAATATTTTGTAAATAATGTGTTTGACATTTATGTATATATACATATGCAAAGTAAATGTCTTCTTCTGTTGACATTAATGTTACACAAATGTGTGTAACTCTGTCACTAAATGAAATATTTTCAAAATGAAAAATGCATTCTGATAAAAAATGGATATACTTTCTGATGATTTTTAACAGAATTAGGATATCAGCTACACAGACCATATAGTAGTCTGATAAGTTCAGATTTGGTGTGCATTTAAAAAAAAATATAAAAATTTCATCTCAGAATATTACTAATAAAATTAAACTATTTTTGGCTTATTGTTTTATCTTTTACATATTATTACTCTCTGTTCCAATTCCTTTATTTTGATATGAAATACAGCTAGCTTGTTTACAAAAAAGATACCCCTAAAATTCAATAATTGATAAGAGCACCCTAAAATATTTCCATTGGCCGAAAACCGGTCTGGCACAAACGTGGAAAACCCCTTGGCATGGAAAGAGTCAAGTATCCTATTGGTGCTACTGGCATTATTTTATGGGTGTCTGCTTTTGAAACAATGGGCTCATAACAAGTATATTCAATAATTATATATATTAAAACATACAGCTACTGGAATGTAATCATAGGTCTAAAATCTTACAGGCGTCTCTGGTGAGTGGAATAACGATTCTGTGGTTGAGTCATGTTCTTGAGCTAATTTATTTTCCAGGGACTGTCTCACTCGGCGATTGTGTTGGATGTGCTAAAATACATTGCAAAAATATAAAATTTAAAATATTATAACCATTATACCCTACTAAAAAAAGATTTAACAAGCAAACATTATGAAATATAGTAGTCAGTATAAACTATATGGTTACATAATCCACTTTGAAAAATTACTTTTAAATCCAATATATATATAAGCTACAGAAAACCTGAAATTTTAACAGTTACATGAAATACATAATTTCAAATTTCTGAAAGTCAAACTTCTTTTAATTGAAATAAAAACCAAAATAAAATTTAATATATTAATTTTTAGAAAATAACGAAGACAAAATCTATTAGCATTTCTGTTTTGGATTCAGAGTTTTCAAAAAATTTTTAAACACCTTTATAAATAAGGGAGAAAACAAACGTTTAAAAAAATGCTTCTGGTGGGCAATTTTGTTTTGGTAATTCTCAAAATTGTTTGGTTTCAAGTTGAGATTTAGGCTTTGAGATGTTGATGAGGAGCTAAGACTTACAGAGATTTATAAAAAAAGAATTAAGTAAATTCAAACGTTTTGATTCTGAAAATTAAGCTAGATTTAGAAATAACTTATATTCTTAATTTAACAACACAATACATTTTTTAAGGAAATAGTGGAACAAGGTATGTGGAAGCTAGAAATATAAAGACAGGAAATTAAAGCAGAACATTTTCGCTAAGAGCCTTCTTCACCAGACAGGACAAAAGAGGAAACAGTAAGAAATAAAAAAACGGTTAAAAAACTTGGAAGTGTGTTTGGAGTTCGACATGAATGCAACATGTTGTTGTTGGAAGTTGGGTTTTCCATAACCAAAATATGTGATCTATCCAAAAGATTACATCAAGTAATCAAATTTATGTATCATTATTGTGAAAAATAAGATTTGAACTGACAATTTTCTTTTTTTGGTCCTGTCTGTTGAAGAAGGCACTTACCCAAAACATTCTCCTTTTATTGTCCAGACTTTATATTTCAAGCTTCCACGTACCTTGTTCCACTATTGCGTTCACACAGCTTGAACACAGTCCTTCATTAATAACACTAAATTTTTTTAAATACAAATTGACTCTTGAAACTAAATCCACTAGAAGCATTATAATATGAAACAGTTAAAAGGAAAATGAAGAATGTAAAAAATCACAATCAAAGTTGTGAATTAAACTGACATGATCTACCTCCTTATTTGGTTTTCGCTTTGAGAGCCTTGTCTGTGATGTTGGATGTAAACCAGATGAAATATCAGCTTCATAACCAGCATCACAATCCTTAAGCACTTCACCAAGGTCATCAAGGTCACTGGGACTCTATTAATGGATAAAATACATAATTTATCAATTCATATTTTACAGAAACAATTTTTGGGGTTTTTGGCCTGATGACTATCGCTGGGAAAAAGATGCTTTAGTATTGAAAAATTCCACAAAGATTTAAAAACATAAATTTTGATGATGCTAATAAGTGCAGAAAAATTGTCAATAATGAATTCATAAAGCGCCAGTATTGGGTAGAAAGCACACATTTTCTTCCCATTCTTCAATTTCCATGATTTGTATAATTTATGTTACTCCGATTAATAGTTTGTTTATGCTTCATATGGAGCTAGGTGACAGTATGAGACTTTCTGAAGCAAAACGGAAAATTGAAAGAAATTGTCCATTTGCAAGAAAATAAGCTTTATATAGTGCCTCGGTAATACAAATCCCATTTTGGCCCCGGTGAAGCATAAAATCATTTCTTTCAATCAACTGAATAAAATAAAATGTTAAATCTATTAGTGATTACTAGTGCAGACAAGCACTCACCCATGTTTTGCTCTGTGCTCTCCTCTCTACTTCAGCAATGGCATGTTTGAATGGAGTTGGTGTCCTAGGTGAGGACTCCCTACCACTGAAAAACCAAAAGTACATGCAAAAAAAAAAATTAAGTTAAAATCCATTTGATAAATTAACTTGTTCTTGTAAGGTTCTTGACTTATGAAACTAGGCCACAACTTACCCATTGCTGTGAGAGTGACCATAAGATGCCTGACTGGACATTGGAGTAGAGGTCAGTTTGCCACGAGAAGAATGACTTGGACTATTCAGGAACTGAGGAATAAATGTGTCGATTTCTTCAAGTGTCTACAACAATACGGAATCTAAAAATTAAAATCTGAATATAAGCACGTCGGATATTAAATGGCTCAAATCACCTGCGAAGGGGAAAATGGCAGATTTTCAAAAGGGATGCGCACTGGTGTTGTTGGCAAAGGTTGAGCGGTTGTAGCTGGTTGGGTATCAGATACACTCTCATCGCATGCCATGTCATCTAGGGGCTCTTCCAGCTCATGTAGAACATTTTCAAGTTCCTCTGCCAAAGTTGTCCCTTGACGCTAAAACAAACAGGAAAATATTGAGCGAGGACTTTTTAAATCTAATCATATAACATTAATTACCTCAGCTTGTATTAATTATAAACTTACCCTTCTGTACTTTCCCCGGCGAAGAATTGAAGGTGGGGTACTCAAGCTTTGTGAAAAAATAGTCTGTAATAGTGTAGGGCTTGGTTTTTTCTCATAGTTATCTGTTGATATTATACATTTCTACATATTAAGTCTTGAACAACTGAGAATAACTTGTTTTTAAAAAAAAAAACATAATTATTTAAAGAAAATATAATGCAATAAATTATTATTTTTTTTTTTAAAATACCTTCGTTCTCTCGTTTTATAAACTTAATAGGATTGCACCCTGGGTTTACTTCCATGCCTGTCATAAGATCTAATGAAGACATATTTCCAAAATCAGATTGGTTTTTTCTATTAGTTATCTGTTGATATTATACATTTCTACATATTAAGTCTTGAACAACTTAGAATAACTTGTTTTTAAAAAAAAAAACATAATTATTTAAAGAAAATATAATGCAATAAATTATTATTTTTTTTTTTAAAATACCTTCGTTCTCTCGTTTTATAAACTTAATAGGAGTGCACCCTGGGTTTACTTCCATGCCTGTCATAAGATCTAATGAAGACATATTTCCAAAATCAGGCTGGTCCATGATTGCATCTGTAGTGTCTGTCATTGATCTGAAGTAGAAATTATAAAGTTATGTACATGGTATTAGAAAGGGTCTGTTATATACATGGTAAATGATTATAAGATCAGAAAATACAAAACTATCCCACTATTCAAAAGTAATAATCATAAACACAAATAATGTGACACACTTCTGAATAACAAACACAAAATTCAATTGATTTTTAATAAGCTTCATTATTAATCTTTACTTTTACATTAACATAATTAGTTTTTCATTATTTTATTTGATATTTTATTTTTATTACTAAACCACTAAGCATCAACCAAAATTAAAAATCTCACTTAAGTGGACTGCGTGACTCTTCGTTATGTCCCAAAGACACCTGACTCATTACCTCCTCTTTTGGCACCAGCAGTGGCTCTACATCTTTTATTAGATTTCAAAAAGTTATAATACACAAGCAGTTATAAACAAAATGAACTATCAATAGATCAAACCTAAATGTAATGTTCATAAAGCTGTGCACAGAGCCAAAACAAGTTCACCTGGTAAAAAGTACAATAGTTTTCTACTTTGCTAACCTCAAACAATATTATATCTACCTTTTTAAGAACAATAGAGAACATTTTTTATACATTAGACTAAGAATACAATTCATATTTGAATTAGACCATTCTATAAACAATGTTAAAGAATTTTTCTATGTTTTGTTTTTTGGGGGAGATACATTTTTATCAGATTTATATTGATATTTTAAATTGATTACTTCTAGTACTATATAGTTCAAACAATCTCAGAAGGTATTATTGAAGATTAACTTGTTTATAGTTAAATGGAAAAAGCAGTGTTTTAGCATTTTTAAGGCTTTCTCACCTTTCATGACAATGAATCTAACAGGTAATAACACATTCCTACCTGTGTTTAGATTGTCATTGTTATACTGAGGATTAAAGATAAATACAAAATTATCAAACAAAAAAGTTTGGAGACTACTAAACAAATTACCAACATCAACAGAATACAAATCTAATTTATTAGCACCAATTCAAACATATTTTTTTTAAATAGCCAGAATCAAGGGTCATGACCTTTTGAGGATTTGGGAGGCTGCATTGAAATTTTTTCATATTTAAATATGAAAATGAGTTTTTGAATCATTCTGGTTGTACCACTTTTATGATTATGTAAAATCATACGAAGAATAAAAGTTTATGTTATGACCTTCTTTCATGAGGTCTTCACAAATGTCAAAGATTTTCGTCTGGTCTAATATCTTATGATGATGGCAAATATTTGGATGGTAACTACTTCGATGTCTAATATTCAGATGGCAAATCTTCCTTGGTCACAACACGGCCCGGTGTGATTCAAGAACACTAAAAGGTTCATTGTACATTATGAGTTTATTTTCACAGAAGTAAAACATCCACCTGGTACACAATGAAGCTAATATATAAATACATCTCGCAGAAAAATATTATCCTCAGGCAAAAAGCCCCACAGCGAATCTAACCAAAATACTATCCACCCTGTCTCTCACTAGTGACTACTCAACTCTCTAACAATCTAATCGGGACTCTCATCTAACCACCAATTAACACGCTACCTTTTATAACCCTACATAACAATCACTCAGCATACACTAACCCAACACCACGAACCAGCTTCACGATCTGACCTCACAACCTACAACTCACAAAACTCTCTCACGATTAACAACTCTCCCTAGTTAAATCTAGTTTACAACAGTTAAAATATTATTTTCTCTGACTGAAAATCTTGTTATAACTAAGGTGATATGATTTCAATATTTATGTGTGTGTATCTTTATATATATATGACATTATGGACTGTATGAAATAAACCTCTCTAAGGAATCCAGTTCATTGTAAAGAAAAAGTGTTCATATATAAGCTTCATCACATATTTGCTATATAATAATTGATAGAATCAGGATTTTAATAAATAATAGTAATAAGGTACATGAGTTTAAATGCTTTTTAAAATTAATTCTACAGAATAAAAATTTTATAATTAATTTATTATTGTTGAAAAGTTGTAGAACGGATGACTTCAGAGTGCATTTCTTTAGTTTCTTTATTATTTAATTATCTTAATAGCAAACTGATCTTTTGGCCCATTGTACTTAATACTGAATTCTTTTTCTATTCACATTGAATGTAGTGTATATTGTTATATTATTTAAAAAAAAAAAATCTTACAAAAATTATCTAGGAAGGATCAAGAGAGGTATTATTGTATGTTTATGACAAAATATCTATTATATACACATTAAAGGTTTGATTTTAAAGCTGTTAAAAATATATGAAAAAAAAAAAAAAAAAAAAAAAAAAAAAAAAAAAAAAAAAAAAAAAAAAAAAAAAAAAAAAAAAAAAAAAAAAAAAAAAAAAAAAAAAAAAAAAAAAAAAAAAAAAAAAAAAAAAAAAAAAAAGAAACGAATTATTAAAAAAGAAAAAAAAAAAAAATCAGTCCCAAATTCACTGTAAACAACTCAAATTTGAACAAATTGAAACTTTTCTTGTGCCAGTCACAATCTCACCATGTTCGGAAACAAGTGAACTGGTTGAACATTGAGAGAATTTAATGAGCTAGTAGGCACGATAGGCCGACTGTATAGAGACAAGCCATTGCTGATGTACTTTCTGTCACTACTTTCTTCCCCTTCAAATTTTCGTTTCATTGTTGAGTTCCAGTGATTCTTTATTGCATTATCTGTTCTGCAATCCAAAACAACAATTTCCCCCAAATTTGTTATGGTAAGTTCAGGAAATAGCTCTTCTACTAATTTTACTTATGGGTTTTAAAAAGAAAATGAGCAGGAGTGTTGCTTTTTAAACAAACTTAATTTCTTTAGTGAACTTTGAAAACCTAATGAATTATATTTTGATCACAAATGTACTTTAAAATTACTTGTTATCTGCATCATCGTCTCGTGTTATTAAATGTTAAAATTTATATAATATGTATTAAAAGCTTTCAATTTTTACCTCCCTGGGAGGTACTTAGCAATTTCAGCCCAGCGGTTGCCGAGCCGACGATGAAGCTGATAAATAAGTTGATCCTCTTCCTCTGTCCAAGCCGTTTTCTTGATGCTAGGGTTTAAATGATTGTGCCACCTGGTCATTGAGAAAAAAGGTTATTTTAATATGATCATGTCAGTTAAATCTTTTCATATAACAAGAGCTTGTTACAACTGAACTTGAGATAGAATTCTTTTAATAGCACCAAATTTTACCTAAAAAGTTTCTTATGGATTATGTCAGAATTGAAAAAAAAAAACAAAAAATGTTTCCTTATTTTATTATATTATTGACAAAGTGACATCTAGGGTTTTAATTTGAAGAATTTTGTTTAGAAAGTTTGTCATATGATCCAACATTGCATAAAGAATTAAAAATAATGTGAATCACTTAACATTCAAAACAACTTTGTAAGGTTACAGGAATAAATAAAACAATTGAGCTCATTATAGAGATTCTTGGGAAGTAAATGTTGTGAAATGCCCACCCATGGAATCTAAACTCCTGTGGGGGCCTATCAAGTGGCCATAATGAAGGTAACAGCCTCTGGGTGCAGATTTCCTTAAGTATTAGTATATAAAAATAACTTGCCTCTCCCTACACTGCTTCCCAGTTCGTCCTTTTAAATGTTTTGAGATTAAAGTCCAACGCTTTGGACCATACTCATTTACTAATTGAATGACACGATTATCTTCCTGAAAATTTTAAGGACAATTAATTTTTGTCAGGCAACATTTTTAATTGCTAGGAAGCAGATCAATGAATACTTAATAATGGTTTGGATTGAAAAATGAAAAAAAGAACAAAATATTGTATACAGCATATTTATTAAACTTTTCTTGAGCTAAACTAGTGTTAACTAATTTTGGGTAATTAACGCACATTTGATGAAATATGTTTTTTTTTTGTATAATCAAACGTGAGAAGTAAAATAAATAGGAGAAAGTTATCAGCCAATAGTTATGAGCATTGTTATTTTAATATTTTCCTCTCAAGATCACTGTTTAATTTCTTAAATTAAATATCTTTATCACTTAATTATATTATGTTTAAGTTTATTATACACGTAATAAAATAAGCAATGCATACTACTTACTTTAGTAAATATATTATTAAATCAAAGACAGTGCAAAAAAATAATGATAAAGATAATTGAATTCTGACTTATTAAAATGGATTTTTATTTTCTATTTTTGGTTAAGGAAAATATTTTTAAAGAAATGAATTAAACTTTTCCATAACCATATCAAAGCTATACTGAAACAGTAAATATTTCATATATTTTAACAATACAGATATTTTAAACGTCTTTGATAGTTTGAATTTTATGTTAGATATCTTAAACTACCATATATTGACATCAAAACTTTGAGAAATTAATTAAGGTATTGTAAAAGAAGCCCTTTGTAATAAAATACAGAAGAACTAACATCTTTCTTTATCCTCTTTTTTAAAATTATTCACAAATTTTTAGCAAATACTTAGTCTTTTTACCTCTCTGGTCCACGGCCCCTTGATAAGGTCAGGATTCAGCACTTTATGCCAGCGATGTTGACATTGAATATCTGTGCGATCCACAAAGAAACTGCAAACAACTTTCCAATCATGAAAACCTTTTGCCTCAACGATTTTCCTCAATTTTTCGTCCTGAAAAATTAGCAGCAAGGATTCAACAATTTTTATGTTAAAAGTTACAGTAAAAAAAAAGAAAACAACAACAAAAAAAAAATTAAAAAAAAAAAAAAAAAAAAAAAAAAAAAAAAAAAAAAAAATAAAAAAAAAAAAAAAAAAAAAAAAAAAAAAAAAAAAAAAAAAAAAAAAAAAAAAAAAAATAATAATACAAAAGAACATTTATCTGTGAAAAAAAAGAAAGAAAAAAAAACAATGATTCAAACTGCTATTTGATCAAAAGTATGATAAAATAGATTTATCTAGGTTTAATTTGTTCAACTCGCTTTCAAAAAGGCTCTAATGTAGTAATTGTTTGTACCTCCTCTTTAGACCACTTCCCACGGTTGATGAATTTTTTAATCTTTACTTGCGGTAGATTGTAATCATGGTCCATAGGTTCGGTGTCATCTGGTTCATCCTCGCTGCTCCCCACTGACAAACTATCAGACCTGCTAAAAGAAGGTTAAGTATGAATATGCTGAGGTGTAACAAAATCAAAATAGATGTCAATAAAACTATGTTGATGCTAGTTACTGTACTGTATTGAAACTTTTTTAAGGATATTCAAGAGAAAAATCCTATAGCATTTCTTTCAACAAAAATTTGTTGCTCAGTTGATACCAGGAGCATGCCTTTAATGTCAGAGTTCCGCTCCTGACAAATTTTTGTCAGCTCCACTTTTGAGCTACTGAAAAATTAAAAAGGTGGGAGGGGTGGTTGAGGGGGTGCTAAGTATTTTAAGAAATGTGTTTTAGGTAGAAGAGTGGGGCAACATGGCTGGTAGCATAGTGGGGCAATTTGTTTTTTATATAATTTTTTTTTTTTTTTAAAGTATAAATTATAGAATTAAACAAAAATTTAATATTAAAATGTTTTGGAGCTTGAGGAAGCAAATTTAACCAGCTCCTGGCAAAATATACTGTGCTTCAGTCTAATTTTAAAATTTGACATGTAAGAAACTGATACTGTTTTGTCCCTAAAATTAAATGATGATTTTTCTATCATAAACAATATGCTCATCATTTGGAATATAAACAGATGCATATAATAAAATGGAAACAATTATAATTTTATTTAGGAAAGAAAGACAAAGAATTAAACATGGACATTTTTATCTTTTTTTAAAATTATGACAGTTAATATAATTGCCACATTTCTTTATCTATCATTTTTTTTAAACTTTAAAACTTCATCAAATGGTGTAGCATTAATTATTCAAGATGGTTTTTCTACTATTAACTTTACCCTGAACCTCTCTTGCATTGTTCGGTACCACTCAAATTCACAAGTTACATTTAAAATGCCTGTGATATTTTTGCAAAGGGTAATAAGGAAATTGTAAGGCACACAATTTAAACAAGCAAATTTTCAGGGAGATACTGATGGTTAATTATTCTAAATGCTTCAACAAAGACACATAATACTAACACACACGGATAGAAAGATTTTATATTTTCATCTACATGTATATACACACACACACACAGTAAAGCCTTAGATTGTCAGGATATTTCATAATATGTATTTATACTTTTATTATTTACATTTAATATTAAGTATTAAAATGTATTAATTAAATTTAATTTTTGCTGTTTTGAGGGAGATGAAATGGAGAGAAAGCAGGAGGTTTATTGTGTTCATGAGTTTTGCTGTTACTATAGCAATCACAGCTGTCTATTGGCTCACTGGAATTTTTAAGTCACAGCCACATTTATACAGAAGCAAAGTTACACCTGTAACGGACAATGTTTTCACATGAAAACAGAGAGGTAGCATGAGTGAACAGTGAATTGTGTTGACCATGTATTTTGAGATGCAAATGTGAACTCCACGTTTTTGGAGAGTAAAATTATGTTTTTGTCAGAGCGGTTGTTTTCCACGCTTTGCTGGTAATAAAGTATGAGTTGACTGAGATAGTAGAGAGCTGAGCGCAGAGCAAGAGAGTCAGTAGCGTGAGAGCTGTGAGATTAGACAGTTGAGCTGAGTTGTAGAAGTATGAGGACGTGTTTTTCTTAATGATGGAATACTATAGATATATATGTGAAATTACATTCATGCAAGGATTATTTATTAATATTATCAATATAAAGTGTGTTCAATAAAGTACTGTGAGTTTTAACTAGAATTGAGTATTCTTCTTTACGTGCCTGAATAATAAGTGAAAGAATGAAGAAGACTGAGTCGGCATCCTGAAGCGTTAATATAAGTAACCATACTACTGACATAACCCACAGCATAAGAAATAACATCCCACGCCATGTCAGAGTAGAAGTGTGTTACAAATGGTGTCAGAAGCGGTGTAACGACGATGCGTTACAAATATTGTCAGAAGTGTCAGAACAACGATGTATTACAGAACATTGAGTAACAATGATATATTTTAACATTCGAATCGAACGTCATTACGCCCGAGTATTTGTCAAGTCTGAGAAGAGTCCACGACACACAGAGCAAGCTGACAACGATTGAATTTAGGTCAGTCACGGGAGTCAAAAGTTGAGAGTTCAAACAGCTAACTGGTACACTGTTTCAATTATATAACAGTGGAGTGAATATTCTCGTGGAAGAAACAGCAAGAAATCTATTTTACAGTTATTAGTCAACGAAAGAGATGATCCACACAAAACCAAAAGAAGTCTGATGTCATTACAGATGAGATGTTTTATCAAGACAGCGGAAGTAAGATTTCCCCAGCATAATCTTTACTTTATACAAGCCGCACAGTTCAAGTCAAGTAATTCTTCAAGTAATTCTTCAATTACTCACAAGTGCAACAGAACCGGAGAGAAATTAGACAATTTTCAATTATTGGATTATCACAATTACACTATTACGCAAGGTACTTACATTGGAGTATTGCAGCAATTTGTGGTGTAACTTTTCTCATTGGATTATTTTACCCAAGTACACTACCACATAGGATTATCTACTACCTAGAAGGAGCATCTACTACATAGGATTATCGATTACACAGAAATCATAGCGTCACAGAGGAGCAGAGGTGACCAACTACGGATTTCTTTTAAACACTTGGTATTTATGTATTTATGTGTTATGTATTATATATAATTTAAGACTTTAAAAATCCACTTATATAATACTTAATTAGATTAAGTAAAATTTTTTACTTTTTCTGTATAATATAAGTTTAATTTTAGAGGATACTGTAGCGACATCCACGGTGTTATCTTTCCTAGGGAAGTTTTTTTATTAAAACGGTAAAGGTTTCTTCTGGCCCTATTTATAACACTGTAGGATAATTTTGTGTTAGCTGTGAAGTCTAGTTTGTACATTGTCATAACTGTTGTTTTTTAGTAGATCTTGTCATATTTGTACTACTTGTCTTGTCATTGTTATACATATTGTCAACCTACTGTCATATTTTCTACTATCTTGTGGTCCATAAACTACACAGTAATTTTGTATTTGTTGTCTCATTTGTATACATGTAAACGTCTACATATCTGTATTTATGTTGTGAAGTAGACAATTCAATTATTTTAAATTTTTCTTACACTTATTTATAACTTATAATTCATGTATCAACTTGCATTTGTGTATACATTCATTAACATGTAGATATATGAAATATCGTAAACTATTCTAATTGATAACCAAAGAATAAGGAGATAACTGATATACTGATACATAACAATATAATTTTAGTTACTCACATTACACATAAAAAATGGCAGAGTACTTGGAATTATTAGAAGTAGGTGAGAAGCTTGGCTTGAAGCAGGAGAAATTAACTGACTTCGTAACTAGAGAAATGGACAAAATACGAGACCGACAAGACAAAGACAAAGACCGAGAAGCTAGACTGTTAGAGAGAAGCGAACTTAAACAAATAGAGGAAATGAAATTAAAAGGACAAAAAGAAATAGAAGAACTTAAATTAAGGGAACAAGATATGAAAATAAGAGAGGAAGAGCTAAAACTAGAAAGAGCTAGGATAGAATCAGGACAGCATACTACATCAACAAGCAATAGGGAAACCAACAGTGCATACAAACCTAAATTTAGAGAATTTAATGAACATAAAGAAGAAATTATTAGTTATCTGTCACAATTTGAAGGCATATGTCAGTCTTATAATTATAGAGAAGAGACTTGGGCTAATATTTTATTGAGCAGACTATCAGGGAAAAGCCTAAGTATTATTAATTCACTTAGTGAAGAACAAAAGAATAATTATACATATATAAAGAAAGTTTTGTTAAAGTTCTATGGAAACACAGAAGACATTTATAGAAAAAATTTCCATAACATAAGACTAGAGAGAGAAGTAGATCCTAACACCACCATATTCAATATTAGAGACAATCTTGTCAAATGGCTTGAATTAACTGAAATTGACCTAAATGATCCAAAAGCATTACTGGATATGTTTATCATAGACAAAATATTAAGAAATGCATCAGTCTCTTTATTTTCATTCCTTAAAGAGAGAAAGATTAAAAATGAGCGTGAGTTAGTTGACTCAATCACAACATTTAAAGATGCTCACCCCAATGAAGAGCTAGACAATAGAAACAGCACACTAGCCTCTATTAGAAACACACCCAGTGATAGGGACAGTCAAAAACAAAACACATATCAAAACAGAAGATACCATAGCCTACCTGCCAGATGGCAAAACAATAAATTTCAGAAAAGTCATCAAAACAATTACCAGACACCATATACTAATTATTCAAACAACAACAAATGTTTCTACTGTGGCATTCCAGGTCACAAAAAATATGAGTGTAGGAAATTACATAGAGATTTAGGACATTCACAACAATACTATCAGAGAACATCACCCAACAGTAGTCCAATTAGATACAACAGTGCAAATAGGAGTAGACAACCATATAAAAATCAAAGATATAATTCCAATCAGACTAACAGTAGACAAAACACCAAACCACATGAAACTTTAGCTAGCGCATGTCACAGTGAAGGAAGTTTACAATTTTTTCCTTCTTATGTAAACAACCAGCTTGTTCAGTGTCTAAGAGACACAGGTTGTACAACAATAGTAGTTGACAAAAAATTGATTGATCCTAAAGACCATATATCTGAAAAAACCACAGTCATGTTAGCAAATAACACAAAAGTTGAATGTTATAAAGCAGTAGTGGACATAGACTGTCCATGGTTGACAGGAAAGGTAACGGCAGTACTTATGGACAACCCAGTATGTCAGTTAATAATTGGAAATATTAAAGAAATTCCAGATAATTCCCAAGAACTATTCTTAAATTGGATTGAATCAAAAAATTTAACCAAAGAGTATATAAGTGCAATAACAAGACAACAACATAAAACTAGTCAGACACAGCCTGAAATAGAAGAAAAATTAGACATTCCAAAACAAATATCTAGAGAGGACATAATTAGAATGCAGACAGAAGATAGGCAAATTCAGGACATTAGAAACAAAATTAAGGACAATAACACAATTTATAGAGGACATAATTACACAATAAAACATAATATTCTAATCAGAAATTTTGAGAAAGGTGAAATCAAAAAATCTCAAATAATAGTACCATTAATACTCAGAAACAAAATACTCAACCATGCACATGACAGTCCTTTGGCTGGACACATGGGTATAAAAAAAACATTAGAAAGGGTCACACAGAATTTTTATTGGCCAGGCATACACAAGGACATAAAGAAACACATAAACAAATGCATACCATGTCTGACAAAAAACCCAATACACAGTAAACACAGAGCACCCATACAACCCACAGACAAAATAGGTAGAAACTTTGAGAAGGTAGCTATAGATATCATTGGTCCTCTTAATCCACCATCAAATAAGGGACACAAATTTATTTTAACCATGATTGATATGGCATCTAGATGGCCAGAGGCAATTCCCCTCAAAAACATTAATTCAGAAACAATTTGCATGGCATTATTAGATGTATTTACAAGACATGGGTTCCCTGATAAAATATTGTCAGATAATGGAACACAGTTTACTTCCAACTTAACCAATGCAGTTACAAAAATGCTAGGTATAATACAAGTACATTCCACAATATATAGACCACAGGCTAATGGTATGGTAGAACGATGGAACAAAACACTAAAAACAATGTTAAATAAAACAACAATAGACCACCCTAGAGAATGGCACCTATATATACCCATGGTTTTATTCGCCTATAGAGAGAGTATACAAGACACCACTGGGTACTCTCCATTTGAGCTAATGTTTGGGGCCAATCCAAAGGGACCTTTAACTCTGTTTAAAGAAAATATTTTAGGCCAGAAAGGCACACAACAAGACACCTTTGACATAATTACAAAAATCAGAGAGAGGATAACGTATGGCATAGAAAATGCTAAAGAAAACACTGATAGGGAGTCTAAAAGACAAAGACATATAAAGAATACACATAGATACCTCAGAGATCTTAAAGTACATGATAAAGTTTTGGTATGGTTGCCAAACAATAATGGACAAAAGATTTGGCAGGGTCCGTTTACAATTCATGACAAGTTAAATTTAGTTGATTATGTAATTCACATGAAGGGTGAATTGAAAGTCCTACATGTGGACTTGCTCAGAAAATATGACTCTGTTCCTGAAGAGTTAGAAACCATCAGTAATGAAATAAGTAGCACAGCCACCGTTGCTAGTGTTATACAATTAGAAGACAATGAAAATAACACCACAACAAACAGACACTTAACAACAATTCTAAAAGAATACAAAGATGTCATCACAGAGAACATAGGACACACTAGCAGTTTAGAACACAAGATAATATTAACACAGGAACCCACATTCAAACACAAAATCTATCCAATTCCATATGCATTTAGGGAAGAAGTAAAGAAAGAACTAAATCATTTAATACAGACTAACAAGATTAAAAGATCAGATTCACCAATAGCATCACCCATGGTAGTAGTAAAAAAGAAAAATGGCCAGTGCCGTATATGTTGTGACTATAGGGAGTTAAATAAAATCACACAATTAGATGCAGAACCCATGAGGGACACCAGAGAACTACTGGAAGAAATAGGCTCCTCCACATTATTCACCCACTTAGATTTAAACAGAGGATTCTGGCAAATAGGCATGCATCCGGATTCCATGCCTTTGACTGCATTTGCCACAGAGGAAGGCTTGTTCGAATGGACAGTAATGCCATTTGGTCTAGTTAATTCCACCGCAACATTTTCTCGATTCATGCGAATCATGTTAGAAGGCATACCAAATGTAGTACATTTTGTCGATGATATCTGCATTCACACTAAGGATATGAAGACACATATAGAGACTATAAAAACAGTACTAAACAAATTAAGAGCACATGGAGTTACAATAGCACCAAACAAATTAAAGTTTGCACAAGAGGACATTGAATTTTTAGGATTTAAAGTCGGTAAAAACACAATTCAGCCCACAGAACACAACAGAGGAAAAATACTAAATATAAAAACACCACACACTCAGAAAGAAGTAAAAGCCATTTTAGGTTTGTGCAATTTTTACAGCACTTTTGTTCCAAAATTTTCTGATGTTACACTACCCTTAAGGAAACTAATAAATAAAGATAGCAAGAAACAAATAGTATGGACGGATGAATGCGAAAATACACTGAGAACAATCAAAGAAATTTTCCAAAGTGACAACATATTGTTATCACCCAATTTTAAACAGTCTTTCACTCTAGTTACAGACGCCTCCAACATTGGATTAGGAGCTTGCCTTATGCAAGAATACAATCATAAATTAAGACCAATTACCTATTTAAGTAGAGCACTAAGCAGAACTGAAATTAACTACTCAACTATTGAAAAAGAATGCTTAGCAATTGTGTGGGCACTTACCAAACTACAGAAATATCTATTAGGCAGAAAATTTACATTATTGACTGATCACAAGCCATTAATGGCACTAAATAGAAAGAAAATAGCGAATAGTAAAATAAACAGATGGTCGTTGATACTATTAGATTATCAGTATGAGATAAGGACAATAAAAGGAAAAGACAATACAGTAGCTGATTTCCTTTCCAGACACATTGAACATGCAGACAATGACAAAGACACTGACTTAAGACACATTAGTCAGACATTCTAAATGAATATACACACATACGTTCACTCAGTTTTTTGATAAGACACTTGTACATATCAATTTTTGTAAATGAATATCAGATTTTAACCAATTGTAAATTTTCTAATGCAAAATTTAAGATTGTTACATTCATTTTGCAGTGTTTATTATTCATTAAGATGTTAATGTCACTTCACATTATCATACATAAAGATTTTAAGAGGTTGTCATTGGTGATTTTTTAATTTTTTGCCAGGGTAAATTATTCACTATTATGTGTGATATTAACAGTAAAAGACTCTGTATTTCATAATGATGAAATGTTAATGTTGTTACACTGATTTGATTGTTAGATGTGGCATTGAAATTTTCTAAGAGACATTATCATTATTTCAACATATAATGCCAAAAATTTTGTTGCACAAAATTTTTTCAGATGGGTGGGGCATGTAACGGACTATGTTTTCACATGAAAACAGAGAGGTAGCATGAGTGAACAGTGAATTGTGTTGACCATGTATTTTGAGATGCAAATGTGAACTCCACGTTTTTGGAGAGTAAAATTATGTTTTTGTCAGAGCGGTTGTTTTCCACGCTTTGCTGGTAATAAAGTATGAGTTGACTGAGATAGTAGAGAGCTGAGCGCAGAGCAAGAGAGTCAGTAGCGTGAGAGCTGTGAGATTAGACAGTTGAGCTGAGTTGTAGAAGTATGAGGACGTGTTTTTCTTAATGATGGAATACTATAGATATATATGTGAAATTACATTCATGCAAGGATTATTTATTAATATTATCAATATAAAGTGTGTTCAATAAAGTACTGTGAGTTTTAACTAGAATTGAGTATTCTTCTTTACGTGCCTGAATAATAAGTGAAAGAATGAAGAAGACTGAGTCGGCATCCTGAAGCGTTAATATAAGTAACCATACTACTGACATAACCCACAGCATAAGAAATAACATCCCACGCCATGTCAGAGTAGAGGTGTGTTACACACCCTTATATATTGAAAATGGACTTTTAATTAAGGTACATTCACAGAAATCAAAACATATATAAACTAGATTTTTCAGTAAAATATACTTGTAATTAAATACATATTTAATGCAATGATTTGAAATTGTTGCTAAATTTTTGTTTCAACCGGCCATTGCACAGAATTCCTTTCACAACCCATTTGAGGTCGCATGGGCTTGAAAGCTGTGCGCTAGTAACTCCAGGCTCTTTGTGTGTCAAACTACCTTCATACTATTTAGTGGTTTTTTTTACTTTTAAAATCAACCTAGTGAGACATATACATAGGCTTATATAGACTCATGTATTAACATATTAAATTGTGTTTTTTTAATATTCGAAATGATTCCCCTAGTTACAAGATATCAAAACATTTGCTGGTAAATAATTAGTGATTGATTAGAAACTAGAATTTGCGACCTGTAAACAATGCTTAACCTATATACAGTTTGAATGTTTTTTTCGACAGGCTGTCATTCACAATTTTTGCTTCAACAAGCATATTTATAGCTATTTATCTATTATTATTATTGGGGCTAAGCAAGGGAAACTGAAGCAACTCAGTTCAGAGTGACCAAATTCTTACTTAACATAGATTTCAGACTATAACAATTTTATTATACAATCCAACTCTTTCAATAGTTTGATTCAGTTTATAATATATTTTTAATTGAATTAATTTTATTTGGTGATGAGAGTGAATTTTGTATGGTTTTTCAGGAATAAGCAAAACACCAGGAAATGAGAAACCTTATTATCTATATCAATTTTTATATCCCCAATGTAATTAAAAGAATTTGGTTATAATAATATTCTTTTAACTAGAAATGTTGATCATAATTTATATAGTATTAGTAGTATTAGTAATTAGTTTTATAAGTCTGCTAAGTCTAACTTAGACTCTAAGCCAAGATCAAAATATATTTTTTGACAAATTTAGATTTAGAGGCAAATAAAAGATAAAAATAATAAATCTGATACACTGGTCACTGGTACAGATCCTTGGTGCAGTTGGCAACTTATTTATTGGTCTGCAAAACTTAAAAGTTGTGAAACACTGCTCTAATTGAGTTCTCTACAGCTACATCAAACTAGTGTAACAAAGTAGCCTATAACTTATAACTATATTATATAAGCCCTGATGCCTGATCAAGATTCAAGTCTGAGCCTGTCTGATTAAATATTAACTATTTTTTTAAACAATCAAGAGAATTTAAAGAAAGATTGGTATTAATAATTATGACTTATGATTTGAACTAAATGTATTAATTAATTGCATTGTCGTTAATTGATGATGATAGATGAAAAAGGAGAAAGATAGATGATGATTGATCAGTTTGATAATTAGTGATAATGACAATGACTGATGAAGCCTACATGACTAAGAAATTAAATCCTTTTTTTTTGTGTGCAATATTTAAAATGATGGTCTGGCCTATTTTATTGAATTTCATATTAGTTTCAGTATATTTTTGAACAAAATTGTGATATTTTAATACCTGAAATTGTTGGTCTTGTTACTGTTATTGGTTAAGAGGTAATTGACAGGAGAAGGTACAGGTAATGGCTTTATTTCATCAGCAAGCTGAGCCATTTCTTGGTCTTGAGACCAAAATGGCTCCTTGCTTGATTGTATCCTCAAAGTGAGGAAATTACGTCATTTGTTCTTTGCCTTCTCGTGATGACACAATATAGTGCCGTCATTTGAAGTAATAGTCTAAACTCGCGTGCAAAAGCGCGGAAACAATGTCAGTCATTGATCGCACCAATCATAGCCGGCAATGTCATTACCCATTATAGTCATTAATATAAATAAAGACAAATGTTAGTGCTTTTCATTAAATATGTTATGACAATCAAAATAAAAAAGATTAGTCTGTGTGGTAAAGAAAATGGTGCACGGTGCGTAGAAGGCATTATATTACATAAATGACTTTGCGACAATCAAACCAACGAAGTCGAAAGTCAACTAGTCAGCTGGCTGAGCTGTAACTAAACGTGTTCTTGTACGGACGTTCTGTGACAAAATGACAATTCCTTACTAATTTAGGAAGAGATCATTTATTTTTGTTAAGTTTATAACCATTCAGGTAGTGAAAGCTTACCTGTGAAGTTCAAGCAGGATTTTAATTATCCAAATTTTGTGTATGTAAAGTTTCAAAGGACAACGAATCCTGCTCAATGTTTACTATGTCAGCTGAAAATGGCGGACGTCATAATATTGTAACTGCGCGCGCTGAGTATTACTATATTCTGATTGGTCGAGCTATGGAAGATGGATTATGGCTAAATTTAGAACTCCATGTGCTTTGGGGGCGTGTCCTATGCACAAAGGATATATTAGGCTATATGTTCACAGTTAAAGCAAGAAGTTAATGATCACTGGTTAAGTCTTAAAATAGCTTATAATTACACAAAAATATATGATAGGCCAAAGAAAACCGGAAATCAGGGTTCTTCTGCGAAAAGTGCAGCCGATAATCAGATTGCCATTCCAGGATCTGCCACATTCACTAATTCACTCATCACATACACAGAAGCTCCACAATCGCCTCACGAAGATGGAAGGAAACCCAAAATCTATTTCTAAAACATTTTTAAAACTTTGTTAAACTCAGTACGCAAATAAAAGTATTTGCAAAATGGTAGTAAGCCAAAGGATTCCATTTAATGTAGAAGAAACTTTAAAAAAATTTTTATCATGTGTTTGAACATATTTTCTGCACAGACTTTCTAAAACTTTATTTGTTTCATGAATTGTACGAAAATTATTTGCCACTTTTTAGTGCGTTTAAACTGGTATTCAAAAGAAAGTTATATATATACATTAAATTTATGAACATTTTCATCGGTATATTTTCAACAAAAGAAAAATCTCTTAGAACACGAATGCTTACAAAAATCCGGGCATAATGACAGCTCTTTGGGGCCGTCCATGAAGTACGTAACGCTAGTTTTACAATTTTTACACGCCTGCCCCTGTCACCTAAAGTACGTCACACTTCAAAATTGTTCTTAGAAATTAAAAAAAAATAATAATTAAATCTAAAACACAACTCACTAGTAAAATTTACACTACTAAGTGAAATCTTATTTCAAAGTACATCCAGGACAACAGAAATTAAACTTCACTCAATGTCAGATTTTATTTGTGTGAAAAATTAATTGTGTGACGTTCCATATGATCTAACCCCCCCCCCCCCCCCCCCCCCCCACCTCCACGTATTCAGGGTTGCCAACTCAATACAATAACATTTACTGACAAAAAAAAAGAAATCTCTACAGAATTTACGGACAAAAACATTTTTTTTACGGACACATTTAACATAAAATGTTGACCTTAAAACGATCTGTGTAAACAAGTCCATCTTGCCGCGATGCGTCTCGCCGCGCGAGCCTAGCTGTCCAGAAAGCTCTTACAGTTTATTAATAGACAAAACAATTTAAAAATTAAAATTTAAATCAAGAAAATAGATATCACAAACATGATTTACTGTTTTTATTTTGCTTCAAATTTCTTTTTGAACGCATTATTTTGTTTTACTGTGTAGTATAATGCGTTCAAAGAGAAATTTGAAGCAAATTTGTAACGTGTGAACTGAAAAAAAGATTCGACCGAATTTCCGTTCGATCAATTTTCCGGCGATCAATTTTCCGTCGACGAAATTTCTTCGATAAAATTTCCGGTAACCAAACTATATTATTAACTTACAGCACAACACCGTAAATTGAAACGGTATAATCATAAAAAATTACAAATATTAAAATACACACACATACACGTAAAGAACATGGCCGTGCTTACAGCAGTGGGGGCCATGGGCAAAGTAATGCACCGAGGCCCCATATCCCTGTATATACTCAGGGCTGTGCGAAGGAGAGGGCCAACCTCCCATGGTGCCGACATCAGGGAGCGCCAAAATTGTTGTACCAAAAAAAAAATAGAATTGCTGTGAAAATGGAAAAAAAAATTGTTGTTGAAAAAGTGGAACAATGATCTACCCCCCCCCACCCACCCAGAGGTGTGGCGTGGTGGGGGCAGGGGGGACAGATGTTCCCGGGCGCCAGCTAGTCAGGGGCGCCAAAATGTGCTTTGATATTATTTTATTGATGAAAATAATGGGTTTCATAGAGAGAGAGAGAGAGAGAGAGAGAGAGAGAGAGAGAGAGAGAGAGATAGATAGATAGATATTTTAGAAATCAAAGAATGTCAGATCTTCGCTGACTACCGTTCTGGCTTGCTACCAGCAGTTTATGAAGGAGTCAAACTGGCAGAAGATTCGCGAAACGAATTCCATGCAACAAAAATAGTATTACGGAAGACCCAATTTAAACAGGATTTAAGGGTCTCCTGCTAGAAATGCACCCGAGACTGTCATGTCAGATCGACCTCGTAAACCATTTGATGAATTGTCCATAGCTGATTAGAGACCGACCGAAAGTGATTTTCTTATTTCGGCCGAAGCCGAAAATAGGCCGAAAGTTTAAAATGACTTTCGGCCGAAACAGAAAAAAGGCCGAAGGTTTAAAAATGACTTTCGGCCGAAACCGAAAAAAGGCCGAATATTAAAAATGAATTTCGGCCGAAACCGAAGCCGAAGCCGAAACCGAAAATGTAATATTAAGTTATTTTGAAATTCGATCTCGCATACATCTGCATACATCGAAAATGATGAGGGAAAGTATAAATATTTAAATTCTTTTTATAAAAAATGAGATAATCGTGAATATTAATAAATAAACATCTAAAATAGGGGTCTCAAACTCGCGGCCCGCAAGCCATTTGTGACCCGCAAGACGATATTTTTCGGCCCGCTACATGACGGAAAAGTTTAGTGTAAATGTGCCGGCCCGTTTCCCTCATTCTCATATCTATAACGTGATTCTCCGCGACGGTTTCAGTCGAATCACACCGACTGTCTAATTCTGATTATTTTTT